CTCAGCGATCAAAGATAGACTAGCACGAAAAATACGCAGACCTCAAGCAGTCCGACCTCAACTACTGAAATTGCCCATTACTGAAGTGATGCCCGCAAGTGTATAAGTAAAATAATAAATCAAGCCGCTAATCAAAAACTAGCGTAGTTGATGTCCCAATGTCAGAAAAAGAAAGAAAATATAACCGCTAGCCTGATAGCAGGAAGTGGTCTCACTTCTCGAGGTGGTCCTCGTTTTAGACGATAATAATTATAATAAATATGTTTAAACGTATAAGTGATCCGGCATTTGACATGGACGCACCAGTTCTCAAAGATGAGTCTGTACGCGATTATCAGTATTATTCTTATGACTCCCAAATACCAAATCAGCGTGGACGAATCGAACTACAGGTTCAAGATACAAGTAGATATTTCTTACCCGCTGAAGCATTTATTGAAGTCGAAGGTGAAATTTTAAAAGATGATAATGCTGAATATGCAGCCTATATTAGTGTTGATTTTGTTAACAATGGTATTATGTCTAAATTTCAAACTCACAAATCAGGATGGAAATATAATTGATTTGAGAAACGAAACTTTATATATTAATTTATACATTCGCTCGTAGATTGGTCTAGATAAAATCTTTGGTTAAACTCCCATTGACTATCAATAGCAGAAGGCAGGGTAAAGGACAACAATTGGGTTGCTTTACGAGTAAATAAAATAACCTGACAAAATCATAAAAAAATACGTCAACAATAATATAACAAAAATGAGCTAACCTCATGAATTTGTCAGGCGTATATAAGTAAAAAAGTTAGAGACTTTAGTTTAATGTTGTTGGCGTATTTTGTTCTCAGCCTCTGCCGGAACCTTTATGTTTTGTTAATGACTCGAGCAGCAGGCATGTTCACCCTGCCTGCAGCTCTTTGAAATGTATTTCCTGTCAGACGGACATTTTTACATGAACTGATTGTGGCCGCCTTCTTTCGCTAAGCAGACTGTATATTTCAATTATTTGAGGCTTTATGTTTAAATATCATAATACATGTATTTGAATTCATTTTGTTATTGTTATTTTAGTTTGACTGAGAGTATTGTATAATGTATGCACATATTGTCTGTGTATCATTTGTGCATATCTGTAAATTATGTTCTTAATAAGAGCTATAAATAAGATAGAATGATGCTTTAATTTCAGTATTAGTAATAGGCTAGTGTACGAGTTTGGGATTATTTATTATTTGATGAGTTGATTGGTGATTAGTAGTTTCTGATTGGATGATTTGACTGGCAATTAAGACAGGGAGTAGAGTTTTGCGATGTAAGTCACTTCGGAATTTGTGATATTTGTGGGGAAGAGATTTTTCAAAAAAAAAAGCCGGAACAGGGTCTCTCTCTCTCTCTCTCTCTCTCTCTCTCTCTCTCTCTCTCTCTCTCTCTCTCTCTCTCTCTCTCTCTCTCTCTCTCTCTCTCTCTCTCTTTTACACACATATATATGTGTGTGTTTGTTTGTCTGTCTTATTCCTATTTCACATTGTTGTTTATATATCCCTTCTAAAACTGCATTTTTCTGTTATGTATGGATTATTTAGAGGAACTGTTTAACCTATTGAAATAGTAATATTCTCAAACGTTGGTTTTACTAAAGAAAATTATAGAACTATTGTGAATTGATTCTAAACTGTTTTAGGTATTGCTACATAGAGACTGTTATTATGTCAGGACATAATGCGCTAGTTTATTCTAAGCACTCCATTAATTTAGGACATGCAACTTTTGTTAAGATGATTTAATACTGAATTCACAATACTGTATGAGTCTCTAAACTTTTCACTTTGTAAATTAAAGAGATAAATTATGTGTTACGTTTTACAACACTTGTTGGCTCTTTCTGCTACTTAGTTTACGAACATTGTCCTAAGAATAATATAACATCGTCCTTGCAACGTAGACATCAAAAGTCTCGAAACATCGAATCTAAAACTATGCATGTTTTTGATATTGAATGAAAATTTTCTCTTAATTTCAATAACTTTCCACAGTGTGTAAATCAACTACATATTTGCAACATTTCTTTTCTTTAATGTGGTGTTACAGGAATATATATATATATATATATATATATATATATATATATATATATATATATATATATATATATATATATATATATATATATATATATATATATATAGTTAAATTAATGAGAATTAAACCGATTTGAAATATTTGAAATTTTTAGTAAGTAGTTGATTTGTTACATTGTTTAGTTTCAGTGTGCATGTGCGTTGAAAAGTTAAACTGACAAAACATGACAAAGAAAGCAATCATCAGATTTTTTAATACGTCCGTACCCCATAAAGAAATTGATTGGACTGACGCTAAATTCTAAAGAAGAGAATCACTCCTGGAGCTGGCGGTGTGAAATTATTGCGATTGGTTGGGCAGAAAAGGTGATTAAAAACTTTGAATATATTGGCCCTCTACAGCGCGTTACGCGAAAAATTTGGCGGGATATTTTAGACAGAATCACACGTCCTTTAAATGTTTTAACGCGAGCGTAAGACAGCACTGATGGGAAAATTAGCTGGATCCCCCAAGATAGTAAACGAGTAGAACAGGACCATGAAACTCCATCTCATGTCTGGACGAAAGTCCCTTATCATAATCAATTGCTATGCTCCAACCATGACCGAACCGGATGAAGGAAAAGACAAGTTCTATGATGACGTTCCAATGGCAGATATGTTCGTCATTCTTGGCGACTTCAGCGCAAGAGTAGGCTGTAATTACGTTGGCTGGGACGCAGTGCTAGGAAAGCACGGAATTGGTCACCGTATCAGCAACGGTCCGTTTTGTTCAGGACTTGCGCCTAGCAAGAAACTGATGATTACTAATATAATCTTCCACCTCCCTACCCGTAACCGGACGTCATGGATGCAGTTTCGCTCTTCACTGGCACCTCATCGACTACGTCATTGTCAGGAATATAGAGAGTCAGGATGTGCGTGTGACTAGGTCATTGTGCGGCACTCACTGTTCAACAGTCTACCGCATAATCATCACCTAGCTCAACAACTTCATTCATCCCAAAAGACACTCATAGGGAAAGAAGGCTCATAAACGACTAAACATTACCAAGCTGAAACACACCAGTACTAAACAGTCTTTCATGGATTCTCTGCAATAACGTCTGAAATCCATCCCTCTGGACAATCAGAATGTGGAGACAAACTAGGCGGCATTCATAGAGCTGGTCTACAGCACAGCTTCGAAAATCGTAGGACCCTCAACCAAAAAGAACTAATACTGGTTTGATGATAATTGCGACAAGATCAATCAGAAGCTGGATGAGAATCAACGCCTCCATCAAACCTACCTCAACAAACCCAAGTCCACTTCCAGGAGAGATACGTACATCAATATAAGCATAACTGTACAGGAAAAACTTCGTCAGCTGCGAGGCACATGGCTGAGTAACAAAGCTGATGAGATCCAGTGCTGCGCAGACAGGCATGATATAAAGAACTTCTACAACTCTCTAGAAAACGTGTATGGATCTACATACTTTGGGTCATCCATCCTACTCAGCGCAGACTGAAAATTTCTAATTACTGAGAAAGTGAAGATTCTTGAACGATGGACTAAACACTTTGACAGTGTCTTGAATCTCTCTTCATCCATCAACGATGAAGCCATCAATAGTCACCCCCAATTACACATCAGCAAAGCACTGTATGACCCTCTAACCTTTCCCGAGACACATAAAACGATATGTCGGCTCTTCAGTGGCAAAACCTTGGTCCAGACTCCATCCAAGCTGAAGTCTACAAGCAACGGGGCAGAGCTCTGATAGAAAGGCTCCACCAACTATTTTCACTGATGTGGCAGCAAGAGACAATACTCAAGGAATTTAAAGACACTTCTGTAATCCACCTGTATAAGCGTAAAGGGAACCGCCAGGCCTGCGACGACCACCCGGGTATATTCTTGCGCTCAATCGCAAGAAAGTTTCTCGCCAGAATCATACTGATCTACCTCACTATGCACCTTGAACAGGTACTCTGCAAGAAAGCCCTGTGGATTCTGGAAAGAACGTGTGACCATCGACATGGCCTTTCCTGCGATGCTGCTACAAGAGAAACGGCAGGAGCAATATGCGGACTTTTGCTCCATCTAAGACGCCTTGATATTGATAAAATACAGCTAAAGGTATTACTTGAATTATTTACTTAATTGTTTCTACTGCGTTTAAACATAAATTACATATTTTCAAAGGAATGTAAGGCTACAATTTTTACATATACACCATTTTTAAATAGTTTGACGTTTAGAATACTTTGTGACAAATATATTATCGTACAATGCACAATCGATACTTAAATTGGATGTTTTTGTTTAATTTATTTTATCTAAAATTACACCTGCAAAATTCTGAACTTCACGGGGTATATTATTTTCGATCTTCATTAAGTGACTTTAAAAGTACTGATTTGATTAAACATTATTATGTGGCTATTGTGAATTGCTGAAGGGATGTTTTGGACAATGCCATTGTGATATGCACAATGCAGAATCAGAAATTCATTCAGAACATTAAATTATTTTAGACTTTAATAGAACGTCTTAGGATTAGCTTTGATTCAATTCATAATACTGCAATTTGGTCCTACGATTTCATTGTATAACTTTGATAAATAAATCATGTGTTAAGTACAAAACTTGATATTCTTGATTCATTCTGTTACTAAAGTTATGGCCATAGAGTCTGTTGTGTTGTGTTTGTGTTGTTTTTAATTTTTAACGTAGCTTTAACAATTTTTCAGTCATATAGCTACGATGTCTGCAGTGTGGCAGTTTATAATGATGTCTATCACTGGGACACCATGCCGCAGATATGTAGCAAAATATTCTGACCAGTCACATTATCCTGACATCAGGCTGACCAGTCCTAACACCAACATATAAGTGCTGAGCGTCAAGCGAGGCAGCTGTTAGTACCATTTTTGTAAGTCTTTGGTGTGACTCAACCGGGGATTTAACTCACGACCTCCCACATCAGAAGCGGACGCTCTAACCACTAGGCCACCAGAGAGGTTGGCCAGAGTCAAAACACGGTTCAGTAACAGAAATGTTCTTTGTGTCTCCAAGTGAGTTAACGTTGATTATTACCTGACAAAATTATCAACGTTGTACATTTAGGATTAAAATCAAATTAAAAATATTACTAGATTTAAATTATGTTGTCCAGTTAGCTAACACTGCATTAATAACCCAAATATGTCAAGCAAAAATAATCTACCTGCGACAAATTATCACGCGACATTTAGCTAAAAAGTAACGATAAAAGAGAAAAGCAGAAAAGTAAATGAAGTGAATGAATTTAATTGGAACACAGCCAGATAGCTGATATTTTAAACCAATGGATATACGAACTACTACATACTTTTCAGAACATACATAATGTTGATGGACAGTACGATAATTGTATTAACTCAAAAGCAATATATAATCAAATATAATTATTTATTTCTAGAATTATCTAGAGAAGAACACATAAATACATAAATCTGCTGAATCAAATGCAGATTTTCCGTTAAGCCTAAAATTGTACAGCTTCCTGGATCATAAAGTAATCTGCAAGCTGGCACAAATCTAATTTGTTATAGTATCAGTATTACTAACGGTAAGCGACGCCTAGACTTCGAAACAACCACACAATCAGTTTTTAAGACTGCAAATTAATCGATGTAGACAACATATTATTAATGCTAAGGCGATTTCACAACCAGATACTAATCACATCTAGTGAGATAAAAAATGAAAGACATCATGACATTGATGAAACATGTTGACAATAAATAAACCAATATTAAACATAATAGCAATGAAGAAGCTAGTATAAAGAGATCGATGAGAACATAACTCATATATTTGAATCTCAAGAGCTCTTGAGACAAAGAATAAGAGCTTTTCTAATACCAAGCAAATTTTATTGCAAGTACAAGATAAGCACATACATCTCCTAAAGTTTGACAATTGCCTATCAAAGAAACGATGAACTATGAGATACATTTCTTTCACTTTGACATTTAGAAAATCAAAACATGAATTGAAAACTATATCCATTTACATTCTCTTTCGGAGCAACACCAGAGAGACTTGAATACAAAATTTAAGCAGAGCAATTCGCTGATGAGATAGTTGTGTTACCACACAAACTATTGAGATGAATAATAATATCAAAGTTGACAATAATAAGAACTTCAGAAAACGCCCCAGATGAAGCTAAATAATAGATGGTTACGAAACAAGTTTATTGTGAAAGAAAAATAAATGGTTAGATTCATTTGAATAACATATGATTTAGTCATGTTAGATTTAGGTAATAAAAGCAAATGACAAAATAAGTTCGTGTCAACAAATTGTAAAAATGATTGTGACTCGTTGATACTAGATGACTTAAATAAGATTATGAAGAATACATCAATTGGGAAATAGAAAATGTATAGTTGTGGTAGATGGTACGTTTGATGTATGTTGATCATGGGTGGTCAATATATAACTGTAGTGCAGTGTACCATTGAATATATATATATATATATATATATATATATATATATATATATATATATATATATATATATATATATATATATATATATATATATAAGAATTAAGCGAATGAGTACATAATGTGGAACCAACGATTGCATAAGTTACAGATTAATTAAAAACTAAATTGAATGAAACTGCACACGCGTTAAGACAGCACTAACATAGGTGCTGTAAAATGGACAAAAGATTGTTGTGATAAATGGTATCACTATTCCAATAAGTACCCAAAATAAACAAGTTTATAAAGAATTTGAAAAGTCATTTCAAGGCTGATTGAGCGTAAAGAGCATCACATAGAGATTTGGAATAAATTAATTAGTCTACATATATCAAATATAGCAAAAAGGAGTTTGAATGTAAATCAAACCAAATATTCGATGTATGTTAATAGAGATGTGTCGTATTGTACCTAAGTAGGACAATCCAGATGAGATCAATTCAATTGTTGATGTAGAAAATGTAGTTACACTTGCTGAAGGTGCAAAAACAAGACATAGGGCTCATCTTGGTCTCATATGATATAAATATTAGTTTAATGACCGTAAAAAATGTAATTTGCTCGCATAAATTAGTTGATCTGTGACTAATCTTAAATTCATCAAATAAATTGCCACAACAAGGGTTATAATTAAAGGATCAATATCAAACTGTTAATCTATTAAAATAAGTTAAGGTTAAGGTATGTAATGAGGAAGCCGAAGAATAAGGGATAGAATTTCATGGCCAAGATGATTGTTTACTTCAATGAAAAACTATCAGAAGAACATTTGGCTAATTAAACAACATGGATGGTGCTCTGTGAATACACTTCTACCGAATGATGATATTAGGTGATATATTTAAATATTCCAAACGTTGACAAAGGCACGACGTTTACTAACCTCCAGATGAAAAAGTGGATTTCGAATACATAAACATTCAAATTATATTGAGATTGAGAGCGTGTGTTGCTCACAAGATTTTGAAAGTATTTTAAGTAACAATAAATAATGAAGATGTTTCGATTTTTGACATACGTAACTCCACATAAACAAGTGAAGGTACCACATGGAGTTCAATAACCCAACCAAACACATAAACCTATTATTCATTACCCAACAATTACCCTATTTTCACAATCCAACACATTACCTTATTATTCACAACCCAACACAATACCCTATTATTCACAACCCAACACATTACCCTATTTTTCACTACCCAAAACATTGCCCTATTTTTAACAATCCAACACAGTACCCTATTATTCACAATCCAACACATTACCTTATCAATCTCAACCTAACACAGTACCCTATTATTCACAACCCAACACATTACCCTATTATTCACAATCCAACACATTACCCTATCATTCACAACCCAACACATTACCCTATTATTCACAACCCAACACATTATCCTATTATTTACAACCCAACACATGGATTAAGCATGAAACAAAGTTGTAAGTTTATATACGAAAGCTCATTGTGGTATCTGATAGATTCTTTCGTGCCGCTTGAGGTGAAATTCCATGCAAAGAATGCTACTGTAAACAATTAAGGAAGAATGTTAGTTGAAAGGACTTATCCATATGATACCGTTCCAAACGCTGACAACGTGTTTTTGATAACTGTTTAGTGTACAGCTTAATTTTCAGGTGATAACATAATTGTTCAGTGTACCAATATGCTCTACTCAAAACCTCAGATTTAACTTTACACCAGTATCTAAAGTTTTAGTAGTTGGTAACTGGTATAAAAAATTGGATGAAGCTTGTTTGCAGTGGTCTGAACTACCTCTCAATCAATATATTTTTAACAATCTTCACTTCGAAGGCAATATTTGCAGGAATGTATTTCTTCGATAAACAGCTTGAAAGCATCATGAAATAAAAATAGTAATATTAACTATTTTCACCACTGTTCATGTAGTGACTTTTACTATATAACTTTAAAGAATAAATTATAATCAAATCGGAACAAAATGCATTCTGTTCAAGAAGTCTTCAATTTTAACTCGAAAATAATAAATTTACGTCATGGGAGAGTCTGTTACGGCAAACTATATTAGACAAAGATGCATATATGCTATACAAGGTGTGCTGTCTATGGAAGCTAAATTCTATCTTTACAAACTTCTATTTAAACTAGACGAAAAAAGTGATTTGTCATAAGTGTAGATGAACCCATGTGATATAAACTTCTATCAAAGCTTGTGATATCTCAGCTGCATAATACAACCTGCTTTGCACGTAGAATACATTAAATATACAGCCTGCATTGCACGTAGAATACATTAAATATACAGCCTGTATTGCACGTAGAATACATTAAATATAGAGCCTGTATTGCACGTAGAATACATTAAATATACAGCCTGTATTGCACGTAGAATACATTAAATATACAGCCTGTATTGCACGTAGAATATATTAAATATACAGCCTGCATTGCACGTAGAATACATTAAATATACAGCCTGCATTGCACGTAGAATACATTAAATATACAGCCTGCATTGCACGTAGAATACATTAAATATACAGCCTGCATTGCACGTAGAATACATTAAATCAATAAGATGCTTGTTACTAATTACCGAAGTAATGCTTGAAAATTTGCTGAACAAATAAAACTTTTTATTGAAGGTTAGTTCGTTTAAGAAACCAATTGAGTACTAACCATTTTTTGACTATTATTCATTCTCAGGATACGAAATGTAAAGAACGTTGAAAATAGTTGCTTAAGCAGTTAATACACTAAAAAAAATGATATAGATAAATGCTTAAACAGTTAACACACTACAAAATGCTCTAGATATTTGTTTAAACAATATGGTTGAAGAGATGCATATACTGACCATGTCAGTAATTGATTTATTGGATGCATTTGAGAGAGAGAGAGAGAGAGAGAGAGAGAGAGAGAGAGAGAGAGAGAGAGAGAGAGAGAGAGAGAGAGAGAGAGAGAGAGAGAGAGAGAGAGAGAGAGAGAGAAAGAGAGAGAGAGAGAGAGCATTGCTTCGCGGATTGTTTTTGAGTTGATAAAATTGTTAGAACATTTAAAGACTAATATTGTAATTATATTTGCTTTTATTGTATTCTTGGTGCTGTACCAGAATAGCAGGATTGATAAATAATTTTTCGTAGTGATAATATTTGTAAAATTAGCTTTGAGACACATACTCTCTTATGCTTTTGCAGAACTTATCAAATCCATACAGTGCAATGGCCAGCGTGCATGACTGATAGAATGGTTCGAACCAGTTGCAATGAACATATATGATTTAGAATTGTTAGCATCCATTGCTAGGTTCTACAAAATAATGTCGGTATGATGCTGGTCCTGTAGATAAGAAACTTCAATGAGATTTCATAGACATTTCAAGATATACAATTCTTTAAATATCGTATATCCTTGTCATATTTTGTTAAATTTAAAGAATCTTCGACATGAATGTTAAATGGTAAGGATGATATCTTATTACCTGGTTATT